TCTGTTGCCACATAATAAACCACTTCATTTATTTGCTCTTTCTTCTGCAGTCTTTGCTGGGCTCACTTGAGTGGTTTGTCTGCTTGTCTTGATTGGAGTGAATCATATTTGATTCACTCAATTTATCTGAAAGGTCTACTGAGGCTGGAAATCCAAGATGGCTTCAATTTACATGTCCGGTGCCTCGGTTGAGATAGCTGGAACATCAGGGGAGTTGGCTGGGTGGCTCTTTCTCTCTACATGGTCTTCAGCAGGGCAGCCAGATCTCTTCATATGTTAGCTTGGGGCTCCAAAAGGGAGAATTTCAAGAGGACAAGCCCAGTATGCGAGTGCTAATGCAGCCTCAGCTTGCATTGTGCTTACTAATGTCCCAATGGGCAAATAACTTTTGTGGACCTGTTAGAAAATCATTTGTGCTTTACATTACTTGTCGCCTCTCTGCAGTGATATAACCCCCAGTATCCTGTTATACTGAGTGATTCAAAAATCATGATAAATATGGTCTTTTCACTCAGATTGCAACAGAAGGTTATAAGGGCACTTTCAAGCTATCTGCATCTAAGAGACGGAAACAGAAAGAACATTGTATACCCCAGTGCTCTTTTCCTCCAGATTTCCCTCTTTTGACATTTAGAAGTTGTTACTTAATTTCCATACATTAAAATTTTGTAGTTTTATTTTTGTTAGGGATTTCTAGTTTAGTTGAACGGTGTTAGAAAACATATTTTGATTTCAAACTAGTAAAATGAATTGAGATTTGCTTTATGTCTCAATATAGTACTTATTTTAGCGACTGTTCCAAGTCTGCATGGAAATAATATGTATAGTACAGGTGTTAGTTATAGACATTTACACATGTCACTTAAGTAAATTTGGCAATTAGTGTTATTCAAATATTCTGTATCTTATCTATCTATCTATCTATCTATCTACCTATCTATCTATCTATCTATCATCTATCTATCTATTTTGGCCTACTGGATGTAGCAGTTACTGAGAGAGATTTGTTAAAACTTCCAACTGTGATTGTGGATTTAGTTCTGTCAATTTTTGTTTCTTATACTTTGAGGTTATGAGGGTGTTTTCTTAGTGAATTTACCTTTTCTGTTTCATGATTATGAAATGTTTACATTTCTCTTGGGTAATATTTATTGTCTTAAAGTTCACTTTGTATGATAAATATAGCCACCCTAGTTTCTTCCTTATGCTTACTGTTAGAATGACATATTTTATCCATCTATCCATTTAATTGCAAGTCATCTGTGTTCTTATATTTATATC